TATATTCATTCATAAAACCTCTACAGTTACTATGTAATGTACAACAAAAAAGGTAACCACATAGCGGAAAATTTATTTTCCGTTGTATTAATATTATGTTAACAAAACATGTTGGTGGTGAACCAGTGAGAAAAATGATCGCTGCCAAAAGATAGAGTCACGTCGCTTCACTTGCTAGTGAAAGTGGGAAGTTTGATATTTAGTCTGGATTTTCCCAGCCAACCCTCTTGTAATTGAGCACCTGACCCATCTTACGTCACTAAATTTACTTTAGAAAAGGGAGATTACAATGTTTATAATATGAACCTCTGTATAAGAAGAAGGAAAGTACTAGAGGAAGGAGAACGATTTTAGAATAAGAGAAAAAAAAAAACGCTCAAGAAAAAGAAAAATACCAGAAAAATGTAAAAAGATTAAAACTGTAAGAAGAACAATGTAGGGGAAAAAAAGATAGGCGTCGGTGGCCTAGTGGTTAGGCTGCCGGACTCGTAATCGTGAGGTTGCCGGTTGGGGTGTTCGAGTCGCGGGCCCGACGTTGTGACCTTTGGAAAGGCACTTTACATGAATTTTCCTCACTTCATCCAGGTGGAAATGGGTACCCGGCCATAGACAGCGAAAGGTCTTGTCAGGTATGTTAGTATTTTAGCGCCTATAAATTGCTGCTTGCACTGTATGCTTCTCAAGAAGCTGAGGTTGTTTCAGAATGCTCTCAGGTCGGGTGGGGTAATAGCATAGGTTGTGAAGCCCATAGAGCTTGCTGTTGAGTAGGGACTTGCGCTACATTATGCTATCTATTATTATTATTATTTAAAAGAAATAAAGAGACGCACATCAAAACGTAATACATAGTCATCAACTCGGTGCTGCATTGCGCGAAATGATCAATTTTCAAGAGTGTAATTATTTCTTCCCCGGACAAGTCAAACAAAAGAAAATATTATGAAGTATGATTAAAGTGGTTCGCAAACATTCAGATCAGCATTTGGTGCGTTGAGCTATTTCCCTCGTTTAAACATTATTTCTCCAATAGCCTCTAGTTACGCTCAAAACCAGTCACTTTTATTAGCAAGCATTTTAACCGAAGGCTATAGACTACTTTACTTCTTGAGCATACATTTCCCATCTTCTAGTCAGAAATATAACCCTTTTGGTTTTCATTTTTATTTCTCCTAACGCCAATTACGATGATAACTTTAGTCTTTTGGCGCGAATAAAAATTCCATGTCTCTGCCTCGCTGAATGACTCAATTTTCTTCCGTTTAGAACCACTTATATGGTGACTCTTACAACCCTTCTTGTCGCCATTACCGGTACAGCTGTCTGACTGTTCAAAGTCGATTAAATCTTTTTAATTTGAGCTTCGATTTTTCTTTTCACGTGAGAATGCAATTTCTTACCCCTCAACAAGACACATCATAGACCTACTCAGAAAATGAGCAAACCTCGTCTCCATTATATTTTTCTGTAGACGGTTTTACGCCCCCCCCCCCCCCAAAAAAAAAATCGACGTAAAATAGATCAATTAAGAAGCAGGCTTCATTCAACCCTATACGCCAGGGCCAACCTGAGCTGAGAGGGACCCAACATCCCAGCAGAAAGACTGCAGTGCTCGATAAAAAGTATTCTCTCCATTAGTAAATCGAACTAGGATTTCCTGCATGTAATAGTGAAGCGCATAATCACTACACCACAAACGCCGGTGTGATGTAGATTACAACCAAGGACCCGGTGAAATGTTAATATGGAACAACGTAGATGTAAAGCACTCGATGGGAAAGTGATGATAAAAGATTAGACTCATGAATATATGACATCAGTGCCCCTTAGTGACGTCAATGTTCTAGTAGGTAGGCCCTCGGATTCCCAACAATAAGGCCATGGGCTCGGCGTAGTGTAGTCCTTGGAAAGGGCAATTTAAACGACTTTCACTCACTTCACCCAGGTGGGAATCGGTACATGGCTATAGACAGCGTAAGAACGTGTCTGTTTGTTGGTGTTTGGAGTGCTGCTTGTATATTATTTGTCTCTAAATAAGATGCATTAATGCGATGTTATATCCCAGAGCACACAAAGACCTCAATCACTGCTTTATTTTTCTTTGAGAATAGCGCACGAGCATAGGCCTAATATTATATATCTTCTCATTCCGTTGCGTTGTGTTCGTTGGCGTTTTATATAGTTTTTGGGTTGGGGTTTTGACAGGGGGGGGGGGTCGGGTGAGTTGCTATTATTGTCTTTGGGGGGGGGGGGGGGGGGCTTGCCATGAAGATGTTCACAGCGAGAATTTTAATGCTTTGAAGTTTTTTGTTTGGGTTGGGGGGGGGTTCAGAAATAAGGGCCTGCGTTGTGCAATTACTCAGGTTTCTTTATTGGGTCATGAGATTATATGAATGTTTTATAGAAATAAGACTGTAAGCAGCGAACTTATCATCGAAAACATCGAAGGGAAAAAACAATGTCTAATCTCCGTTGCGGCTTGACTATACTTATTAAAGGAAACCAGAAAACAACATCGGTTACTAGTTAAATCATGGAAAGGCGGATCTCAGCAGTGATGACTAAGAACTTTCGACAGAATGGCGACTTTTCTGTTTTGTTTTGTTTTTTTTGTGTGGTTTTTTTGTGGCGGGGGGGGGGAGGGGGGGGGGAACAAAAAGACAACACTGCAATTATTTTTTCTTCATGTTTAATTTCTGACTTTTGCGCCCAGTATTGCACATAAATGCGGAAGTCGTATGTGGTTACAACCCAGTGCATTATGTAATAGCTACAATTCTCCATCTGCTGTCATTGGGTTTGGTTATTGATTCCTGATCCTTGTGACATGCTCACAGAACCTTAAAACGGTGCTCTTCTGCCACGATCTTCACCGACTGCTATCTGCTACACGCGAGTAGATACTTTCTATCATCTTTCTGTAATGCCATTCAGAGAAAAAGACTCGAAAACTCACCACAGACGCCACAACGTGCTAAACGTAACGAGTCGGTGGTTGGTGGGTGCTCTAGTATTGTTTGTTCCTTCTTTCCAATCTAGTGTCCTTATATCTCCTCCTTTTTTTATTTCTATTTTACTCTCTTGTATTACCTCTAATCTTCGACACGTATCTGACCTTTGTGTTGTTAGTGCCCGTAAAAATTTTACTAAAACTAAAGCTGAAGGTGACGACGCTTATTTTTTCCCCTAGATTTGTGCATCAGAAACGTTCACATGCCCCCGCCCCCTTGACACCGATATCCGTCAGTTACTAGTTGCGCTCATTGTTCTTTGGTTTTAGCGCAGACAGCAGACTTTTTTGTTTGTTTTTGTAAAGTGTTTTACGGCGCTCGCAACTGCATAGGTCATATGAGCGCGCGGGACACACCTGATATTTTCAGTTGGTAGGAAATTTTGAATTTTGCCCAGGTGGCGGCCGAAGCCTACTCTTATCGATTTTAGACCACCAAGGGATCTTTAACGTGCGCAACTTGCACACGGGCCCTCGAGATTTTTCGCCCTTGTCCGAGAAGGCTAGGTGTAGATCTTTCCTACCAGAAGATCAGGGGTGTGGCAGAAAGACAGCAGTAAGGAGGAGCCAAGGAGTAGCAGTAGAAAGGCTGCAGAAAGAGTCAGGAACCCAGAGGAGGGGGCAAAGGAGGTGAGGGGGTGGGGGAAGTAAGTGGAAATGAAAGCAGACAACAGAACATTGTTAGAGAGCAGGAAAGGAGGTGAAAGGAGACAATTTTAGAGAAGAAAATTTTTCGGTCGCTACCCGGATTCGAACCCGGGAAGACAGCAGACTAGTCATCTCCAGTTTTAGTTTAAGTTTTGCAGTGCTTACAACACAATGAATAGGACAGTGTTTGTTTCGTTCAACATAGCTCACGTTTAATCCATCTTGTTTTAAGTACGTTTTATACTACATACTGACGGAGGCTAGTCGTCACACAGATACATGTAGTCTGTTTCTGTAGTCTTCAGCCTGTATTACACGTTCAGTTAAAACTGACAATTGCCCGCCCTCTTTGTGATAAGAAAATCATACATGACGCAATCTCAATAAAAACACGTTTTTTAGAGAGTTTTTTCAAAATAGAGCAAGAAAAAGAGTTATCCGTGAGTCACTTGGTAAATATTTGTACGCCGGTTCCGAATTTGATATTATTTTTTCGTTGAGACCTAGTGTACAAACGAGAATCCCCCCCCCCCCCCCCCCCCCCCCAGGGCAGTGCTACTGACTGAAGTGTCTTTAGGCCATTCCCAAAGGGGGGATATTTAATATGTTTTTATGCACAGTAAAATTGTATGCTCATACAGTGCCAGAACAAAATAGTGGAAACAGCTGCTTTTTCTTTCCTCATCCTTACTATCGTCATTTTTCCTCTACTTTTTTTGTATGTGTGTCACTCTCTTGTGAACAGTTATTTCTGAGTGCCTTGATAGTCGAAGCAGACTTAGTGCTGTTGAAGCTAGAGAGGTGAGCAGAGTAAACCTGATTCCCCGTTTGGACTTCATTGTTGACATCCACCCCTTGGCGCTCATATGACCTTATTCAGTTGCGAGCGCTGCAAAACCTTACTAATACTAAAACTTTTTTTTATATAAACTAAAGCGAGAATTTTATCACCAGCGGGCCGCAGACAGCCCCAAGACCGGAAGATAGTCCCGAGGCCGGACACATAAAAACCAAGCTATGCCTGATTTTTGTTGCGGCCGACCGGTCGAACAGTCTGTGCGTTTTTGATTGCATGTCGTTTTGTTGTTACAATGCTCTAAGTCCATTTGGTTCGCTCCTGTCGGAGACGGGCTTGACATACTAAGGTTCTGCCTCTTGAATAAGCTAATAGCGTGGACAGGGGCGCTAATCCCTTAAGCCTACGCTTAGTTTTTCTCCTCTATAGGCCCTTCCCCCCTCCCAATCACACACACGCACACCTTTTTTTTTATCCTCTTCAGAGCAGCACAATGAACTTTTCTGTGAGCCTCCAACCTTTAGCCGAGACTGGCGGCAGACTTGTAAGCGACTCGGACTTCCAGATAGCTAGCTACCTGTTTCGAGTAGTGATCAACCCCGTCAGCCTCACCGCCGGCTTCATTGGCAACATCCTCAACATTTTCGTCTTTGTAAAGATCGGAGTCAGGGACAGTATGACCGCGTCCTTCCTCGCTTTGTCTGTGACCGATTTGGCTTACACCTCTGTTTCCATAGTAACCACAGCCTTGAACGAGGTCGGGTTTTCCCGTTTGCACTGGCCATTTCCGGTGATCCCTTTCATGCTGTCGGGAGCTATCAGCTGGTACAAGTTTCTGTTCTATGACGTCACTGTTTACATCACAACATACATCTCTGTGGCCCGTTGTTGCTGCGTGACCATGCCTCTGAAGTTCAAGGACACGTTCACCGTTCGGCGTACAGTGGTCATCTTGGCCATTATCGCGGTCGGCAACACCGCTCTGAGGGTCCCAGTATTAGTCTCATACGGACTGGCGTGGCGCACAAGCCCGTTCTCCAACTCATCCATGATCTTTATATGGTACGCTGATCACTGGTCATCTGTGCAGGCTCTGCACGACCTGGGAAGCCAGACGATCCTGAGCAACGCCTGCCTTTTCATTGTTCTCATCTGCATGGTTATCTTGATTTTTAAACTCGTGCAGGCTTCGCGGTTTCGGCGTTCCATGCAAATAACGCCCGGACATGGGAGGGAGTGTGTAGAGAACAGCCCCTCGGTTCCGCCTCCTTCTCCTGTCCCCGCCCACAGGAACGGAATGAAGTCACGTGATAATAACATACGATCAACTACCCCAACCATTCTCAACGCAAGAGAACTACAAATCGTTAAAGCGGTCGTTCTCGTCGCTGGCCTCCTGTTGGTGTCCGTTCTGTACTCGTCTGTACAAGCCCTAGCTAGGCGGCTGGTCCCACAGTTTGACAACGATGGCAGGTACCGCTGGCTTTTTGCAATCAGCAACGACGTGAGGAGCTCGCTGTCCTACGTGAACGCCGGCGCGAACCCATTCATCTACCTACGGTTCAACGCCAAGTACAGAGCTGTCGTCACTGGATGGATACGCCGCGGGTCCCCCAAAGTCTCAAGGAAGTGATGTCCGACTTAGTGTGTTGTGACCAGTACGGTGGAGGCCCAGGTGGGTCGCCAGGACCGAGGTTCTAATGGACCCCAAATTTGAGGAAAGTGTTAGTCCCTGCGAAAGAAGCCCTGGTGAGGCGCCTGTTGGAGTGGGGGGGAAAGAAAAAGAACAAATCATCGTTATCGTACTATTTACACATTTAAACTGTTGATTGCTCTGGGGTCCTCTTCAGCTCTAGTTACCAGGATGTTACCCCCCCCCCTTTTTTTCTCTCTTCCCATACCCTCTCCACCCCACCCCGGAGTCTTCTTGTTTGACGTACGGACTTGCCCCTGAGTGACATTCATATAACGTGCCACTCCAAAAATTCCACTTTTCTTGTGAGAACGTGTTATCATGCCGTAAAGAGAATTTCATTTTGTTCATTGTACCAAAGAAAAAAAAATATTATTATGATGCAGAAAAAAGCCCTTATGAATATTATCTAGTTGTTTTTATTTTTATATCATATACTTTTGCTTACCACATTGCGGTCTCACATTTCCTGCTATCGTCTTAATATCCCTTTCACTTTCAGTGAACATCTTTTTTCGTTTCCTCCTGGGCTCCATGACACATTTTAAAAATCGTTCGGTCCGGTGTGTCTTTACTGACACTCACCCAGACAATTTGGACACTGATCTAGTTAGGTCTGTGACTTAGTCTGGTTGACGTCTCCCTTCTTACCATAACACTAGTGCCTTAGTACGAAGTTCTGTCTGACTTTTTTGGCCGTTTTGAGTTACTTAGACCGTGAAGTCAGAAATCAAATGTCCTATCTGCTCTATCAAAATCGTAAAATTGTTCGGAGTCGTTATCAAGATGTTCAAAGCATTGGATTTGAAAAAGCCAGACCTTGTTGTGGAACACTCAATTTTTACTTCAAGTTTCTCAAACTAGGTACTGGGCAAATAAAACTTTGTAATTCTTGGGTAGGGATACGCTGAAATCGTCTTTCGCTCATGACCTCATAGGTAACCCCATGCTGGCCCCATAGAGGGTGGAGACCCCGTATATGCGCAAGAAGTTAAGTCAGGTCCGAAAGGAAGCTTCAGCTTGACCTTTAACACTTCTTCTGATATGACTGTGAGTGGTGTCTTTGTAACCTCATGACAACTGTGCACTTTGTGTAGAATTATTTTTTTCTGTGTCTTTCATTCTCTCTTTGACTGCTAATGATTTGCTTCTTTGTCGGCTGGAATTTTTGTTATTGGAAAAAAAAACACCTGCAGGATAACGCAAAATCGTTTTCAAGGATATAAAGCATTTACTGTGAAGTTATGTCATTCTGAGAAAAAAATGTCGACAAGTAACTGCATGTGGCTTGAGAGCGCCTCTGGTAGCTCGTCGTACTTTTCTACTTTCCTGCAGTTGTTTCTGTCTGTCTATATTATTATCACTATTGTTTCCTGCGTGTTAAACGGCCGTTACCGTGTCCATGAGCTCCTCTTTACTCGGACCACAGAGTTGTATTATAATATCCAAGACTGTGTACTCTGACATACTTCCGGTTCACCTATTGAGCTCACAATTTGACTCTATTTAGATTCAGATGAATAACAAAGGAAAGTTGCATCCACTTTTGACTACATGTATAGCGAGATTGGTGTTTTGCACTTCAATGGTGCGCGCCAGAGCAGTGAAGTTTTTATAGAGAGTAAAGAGTGGTAGCCGTGACAGTTCCCAGTTTAGGATAATGTTACAAATCAAGTCTCTGAGCGGCCATGACAGCTCTTAGTCTTGGATGATATTTATTACAAATCAAGTCTATGAGTGACCATGATATTTCCCAGTCTATGATAATGATATTATAACCTACATGTATCAAGCTACATGTATCAAGTCTATGAGCGGCCATGGCAGTTCCCAGTCTAGGATAATACAAGTATTACAATTCAAGTCTATGAGTGGCCGTGGCCATGACATTTCCCAGTCTGGAATAATAATATTATAAATCAAGTCTATGAGTGGCATTGACAGTTGCCAGTCAAGGATAGAATTATAATTAAAGTCTATGGGCGGCCATGACAGTTCCCAGTCTAAAATAATATTATGTATAATGCAAGTGTATAACTCAATCACAACTCCACATCGGGTTCAAGACACAGAGCGATCTGTGTCCATGGAGACCAGTGTGCTGACAGCCATTTACTTATTCCCATGGAGATCAGTTGATTGTTCAGTGGACAAGTCTTGAGAATGCTCGTTATAATGTGTAAGACTCTTCGAGAGGGCTTTTCCTGAAAATGAGCATTTGATGTACAATCTTAAGCCAATCATAGTGTTACACAAACAATACAATGTTTTAGCAAAGCGTGGCTTATGTCACTTACTCTAAGGTATCCAATAAAAAGGGGGGAGGGGAATAAACGGGGGTGTGGACAAGTGGTCCAAAATCAATAATCGGGGGGGGGGGGGGGGGGGATAAAAAGGGGGGGGGGGGCACATTCAACCTCAAACCCCTGTACTAGTAGGAACAAATCTGTTTTATTTCTCCTTCAGTGAATAAAAGAACTTGAGATAATGAAATTTGAGTGATTTTAGTAAGTTACTGTGACTACTTTTCCCATTTAGGAACAAACCAGTTTAATTAAAATATATAAACCAATGTACAAAAGTTTTTAAAATGCACAGAGAATTGAGGTAGCCAACCCGGTACCGGTACTAATACTGAGGGTAATTTGCCATCTAAAAAAAAAAAAGAAGTTTCACTCAGATATCTAGATTCTAGATATAATGTTTCACATGATCGTCGGTCGTGGCAAGCTGGAAAATAATAAACAGGGGGTATGGAATAAGGAGCAGGGAGAGGGCGGGGGGTGCGCAAAAAAATCTGAAAATTAATAAACGGGGGGCTTATTTGATACCTTTAGAGTACACACCTCTCAACAGCCACTCGGTCTACTCTCTATTTCTCACTTTCGGTTTCGCATTTAACTGGATGAGTTATCGTGATTCTAAAAATTCATCTCTTGACATCAAAAGTGAGCACCAGGTTTTCCTCTTCACTTGAATAAATCTTTAAACTGAATGGACGAGATATCGAAAGTGTGTGGCGTTGATTAGTTTATTTCCTAAGTAATGAAAGGCAGACATATTTTAACAAAGGTTCAAACCTTTCATGGTGTGTGTCTGATATCCTTGTAATTGTGCGAAAGCTCTGGTACACTTTTTATGTACCGAAGGTGGGGTTTTTTACACCCTCGTCGACGCAATACAGATCATTCAGGAGGCGGACTTCGACTCTGCCTGTCAAAACTAAACCAACCCGGGCTGGGAGGAACACAACGTCCCTGCAGAAAGACCTATCTAGATTCTCGAGAAAAACTCTCTCCACCAGTCCTAACAACCGAACTTGGGTCTTCTGATTGCGGCAGCAAAGCGCCTACCTAGATCTACTAGGGAACACCGAAAACGCAGAAATATTGTACACTTAATTATAATGAATAATAATATATTATATTATTATTTACATTGGCGATTTTAAAGGGTACCACTTTTTGATTGTGTATAAAATGTAGTCTTTTGGGTCTTTACGCTTTTCCTTTCACATGAAGAATTCAGTACGCAAAACTGTGTTGATCTACTTCTTTTTTTTAAAGCAAGTGAGAGCTTTGGACCTGAAATAAGCACAGCAAAGACAGAAGTTCTCTTCCAGCCTGTCCCTTGTGATACGCAGAGCCTCTCTCCTACAATCAAAACACATGACACATCAAGGAGCAATGCTGGTACATGTAGCTTCAAATAATAATTAATGCTTGCATCGATACAGAAACAGTTTTACGTATTCTAAGATATCGAATAAAAGGGGGGTTGGAAAAACTAGTG